CACACCTAATTCTTCACCTTAATTCCTAATTCTTTTGCGGTTAACATGCATCTTTTCTTCTCCACATGTTTTTGACTGACCCTGCTGACCCACTGAGCATTTTGCTGTCCAATGGTTATGCATTAACTTTGCAATTTCTAGTATTGTAGTAGTTTTGAATATTTCTCATGGACATTTAATAATTTTTGACTTTCAGTCTGAATTAAATCTCTTTTTTGGTTCATTTTATCTGTAAAAGAAAATCTGCTTAATAATTATGCACACCTGAATATAAGACATTTTTCACTTCCAGCCTTCATGAATGACGTGCTGACATACATTTCAAATGGTTTTCAACGGTCGTTTGACCTCTTTCTCGCGTCCAGTGTAGGCAGACTTTAGTTGTTGTAGACACGGTGTTACTCACCTACTGAGAAGAAACATAGCAACCTCGGCGTCCGATCGCAGGCCTCCGCTCCTTGAGTTCTCTCCAGCGCTGGAAAGCTGATCCGATATTTACACGGGTCCTACTTCTTGCCTTATCGTTCCGCAGACGTTTTCCTCTTTTGTTTTTTATCCGCCATCTCTATCTTTCTGTCGCTCGGCTCGGCTAATGTCCGTCCCATGCACTGAACGCGCTCTCCTCCACATCATGAGTAGACACGCCCCTTATTGCTGATTGGCTACAAGTTTGTTTTGCGATTCGGCCCGAATCAGTTTTTAAAGCGTTTTTGAAAAATCACTTACTCTGCCTTTAAAATATGATCGTTCGCGCGCTGAATTGTGGCAGAGATGTAATCCCATACCCTTAAACATTTCCGATGTGGTCTGTGCCTATTTGAAGCGCTTCTTTATTTGGTTGTGTTGTGAGCATTTGCAGCGTGTGCATTGTCAAACTGATGAAGATGTTTTTTTAATTTGCAGCGCGTTGAGCTCTCTCGGTCACTGTAAATTAGACTCTTATTTTGAAATGCATTACCATTGCTGGCTGCTTTTTCAAACAGGTGAGGGAGATTAAAATTCTTAACCATTCTCTACAACATATTACAATATAAACATAATGAAGTGAATACTGTCATAATTTAATCGACAGCAGATCATATGCAATCGCTTGGCATAAATGCGAGTTATTTATTGACTGCGAGCTGCTATGAAACCGCGAACCTGTAGAATGCGTGACAGCTCCGCGTTTTGACTTTGAAACGTGCAGCGCACATATTTAATCATTGAAATCATAGCCTTTTTGAAGATATAAAAAAACAATAGTCTGTTTCGCATTTTTTAAAAAAAAATTAATTATTTTTATTTATTGTGTCGCCAAATTTTTCTTTTTTTTTTTTTTTACTTTTCTTTTTTTCTTTTTTGGCACACATGCTCCTAAAGACATTTTACATTTTGCACACATAGTTGCAAACGCAAGTTGGGCACTGTCGAGCCCTGCTATAATGTTAATCAGGCAACATTACTACTAATGTTAAGATTTAGGCCTTTTTTGCAAGTAAAGAGGAAATTCTTTCACATTGCATCAAAACATTTTTAGTTGAACATAGTTGTCCATTTTGTCCAGGTACAACTTGACAAACGACTAGCAGTACAAGCTCTCCCCAAGCTGTTTAGAAGTACTCATACTGACAGCAACCTTCAGTCTGTCATTTTCTACAAAAACTGAGACAACTGGAGTAACAGGTCGGTGATGTGACAAGTTGGGCAGAGTTCAAATGCATGTCGCCTAAATAAACAGCAGCAAGATACATCACAATATACAGAAGCTGAAAGTCTACAGAACAGTGACTTGGTGACCACCAGCATATTAATCAATTAATCAGTTCACTGATTAATCACTGTGACCGCAACAGGACATTTTGAGGGTCATGTTTTGGATGTGTACCGTGGGCATCTGGTCGTCATATTATGTCAAAACCTTTTCTTTGTTAAGCATAGCCATATTTGATTAAGTTAGTAAGGTTTAATGATGGCTTGACTTATTTATAAGATTTTCTGGGAGCAAACAGAATTACAAAACGTGCTACATTTTCATTTCCCGATCCAAAAGAATACCCAGCCACTACAGCTGAATGTGTACAGGGCTGTCGAAACACAATTGTGCATGTTCTGTGTATACTTGGCCTCTTACAGCAGATCTAACATTAGCCTTGCTGAATGAGTGAACAGAATTGTGTCCTTTGTGTTTGTGCCAAGGTTACGTGACTCGTGAGGGATAATTTACCTGAGAGTCACTGGAGAGCTCTTCACACATCACAGCTCAGAAAGGATGCAGATTAATTCACATTCAGCTTTATTTGTTGGTTTTAACGCTCAACTGAAATATTTATATTTATTAGTGTTATTGAGTTTGAATTTGTGCCTTTTCAACACAAAAGACTTAAAGCACACAGGTTTAACTTTTGTTCACATAATTAGTTCTATTTTTATTCATCAACATTTAATGAAGTTAAGTCACTTTTGCCTTTTTATATTTTTTTCTTGTCAGTTTGCATTTGTACTCATTTTAGGGATTGTGACAATTTATTGGGAGACACTCAATACAATTAATTTATTAATTCATTTATAAGGGTGATTGTGTCTTTAATTACTTTGAATATGGTATGTAAACACTCGTTTTTGGTGCTGTAATGTCAAATCTCAATGTAACACAGTCTTCCCAAGATCTGCCTTTATTCTGCACAGATAACACTAGAATTAATGACTTCAATTGTCAGTATCTATGCTGAGATTATAATATAACGTCCAGGAAAGATATGATCATGACGTTATTGGAAGATTCTATCTTTTTTAATTATGCAATCTGTAGTGATGTTCACACCCGGCAACCTTCCACTGATCACCCATTATCTTTTAAAGGTGCCAAATCTTAAATCATCTCATGTATTCTCTTGGCTCAAAGGTGTCTAAACTGTCTTCACAGGTCAAACAGAGAGTGTCAGATTGATCAGCACCACCGTAACCAGTGTCAGTACTGCCGTCTGAAGAAGTGTTTCCGGGTCGGTATGAGGAAAGAAGGTCAGCAAACCAGTGAGATATATATATATATATATATATTTGTAATAAATATTTTACTATATACATGAGTCATTCTAGTCATTTCACATCAGAAAAGTGTAAAAACAATGTGCTTTCTCAGTAACACAACTACTGGTTTCAGATGATCTGTTTTATCAGTGTAACTTATCTGCTAGTTGCTAAGCTTAATTATTAAACGACATTTTGATATTACAAATATATTACTATTGATATTACTAGAAAAAGATGTTTGTCAGCTGTTACGTACAAGTTGTGTGGGTTGACATTTTTGACAGTTTCATATTTGACTCAACTTCAATGGCAGGACTTATCTGGCCTACCAAATGTTATATCATGGGCAATTAATATAAAAAAAGACATTTATCATAATGTGATCAAAATGTTTGCTGCAGCAGAATATTACACCACATGATGCTGGTCACGTGATTTTATGACCGTTTATGACCATTTTAACCATTTGTTAGTTTTCAGGGGGGTGTTTGTTAGTTACACAGTTGACAATATTTGTGGACATGAGTAAAATGAAATACATTTAAACTCAGTCTATTATTCTAAGGTATTTGGATTCTATAAATAAATTTGACTAACATTTTTATTCATTATTTTGATCTCAAGACTCATCAAATCAAAAACTGGACATTTTAAAAACTGTAATTTAAGGGACATAAAGGCAATTTCAAGCAAACTGAAAAACGGTGCAGAAAATATATGTGTGAGATTAAAGTATGTATTTTCTTAATGGATAAATATGATATTTCTGAAGAAATTATCATTAATTACCATAAATGTACATGCAACAATTATACACTAAATTATACACTACCAGTCAAAAGTTTCTGAATGTTTTTTTTAAAGAATTCTCCTCTGCTCACCAAGTCAATTGTGAAATATTTTTACTATTTAAAATAACTGCTTTCTATTTGAAAATATTTTCAAATGTAATTTATTCCTGTGATCGAAACAAAATTTTCAGCATTATTACTCCAGTCTTGAGTGTCACAAGATCCTTCAGATATCATTCTAATATGCTGCTGGTTTGCTGTTCAATAAACATTTATTTACTTTATTTATTATTATTATTATTAACAGTTGAGTACATTTTTTTTCAGGATTTTTTGATAAATGGAAAGATCCAAAGATCAGTATAATTTTTTTTACTTTTTTGGGGTACATTTTTATTTAGCAAGGATGCTTTAAATTGAACAAAAGTGATGATAAAGACATTTAAAATGTTTCAAAAGATTTCTATTTCAGATAAATGCTGTTCTTTTGAACTTTCTATTCATCAAAGAAACCTGAAAAAATTCTACTCAGCTGTTTTCAACATAATAATAATAATAATAAAAGTTTTTTAATCAGCAAATCAGAATATTAGAATGATTTCTGAAAGATCACGGGACTGGAGTAATGAAGCTAAAAAAATCAGCTTTGAAATCACAGGAATAAATTCCATTTTTAAATATATTCAAATAGAAAACAGTTCTTTTTAATAGTAAAAGTTTTTCCAAATTTTACTCTTTTTGCTGTACTTTGGATCAAATAAATGCAAGCTTGGTGAGCAGAAGAGACTTACTGTTACTCTTAAAAAATCTTACTGTTTAAAAACTTTTGACTGGTAGTGTATAATGAGCCATATACTGTAAATATTTAGAGTCTATATTTATATTTCTGATGTTGTCCCAAACAAACAATTTCCCACATAACTTTATAGCTAGTTTCATGTTACTTGTGTCATTCAGAAGGGGGTTTTCGGTTTGTATCATTATATTGAGGTTTCCTTTCTCTGTTGGTTTTTTCTTGTATTTTCCAGCAGTCCAGCGTGGTCGAATCCCTCCCTCTCATGCAGGCATCAGTCCAGCCTCAATGGTTGGTGCGGGTGGTGATGTTGGAGGAGGTCAAGGCATGGGTGCTGAATTCTTCAACGGTCAGCCGGTGTCTGAACTCATCTCTCAGCTGCTGAGAGCAGAGCCGTACCCCAACAGCCGCTACGGAGCCCAGTGCGGCCAGCAGCTCGCAGGAGGCAACAGCTCCGTCATGGGCATCGACAATATATGTGAGCTGGCGGCCCGGCTGCTCTTCAGTACCATCGAATGGGTGCGGAATATTCCCTACTTTCCTGACCTGCCCGTGTCGGAGCAGGTGGCCCTTCTGAGGCTGAGCTGGAGTGAACTGTTCATCTTGAATGCAGCTCAGTCGGCTCTGCCGCTGCATACGGCCCCTCTGCTGGCAGCTGCTGGTTTTCATTCCTCCCCCATGCCCGCTGACCGCGTCGTGTCCTTCATGGACCAGGTGCGGGTCTTCCAGGACCAGGTGGACAAGCTGACACGACTGCAGGTGGATTCGGCCGAATACAGTTGTCTGAAAGCCATCGCTCTGTTCTCACCAGGTGAGAGTTAAATATAGGGTTAAATATAGGGTACAACGGGGCAAAAAGCCGCCTTTGATATTATTTTCCTCTAAACCACTAGATGGCACAAAAACGTGGCTTAGCACTTTCCAAAACATTCGCTTTTCAAGATGCACGTGCATATTTGTCTGATCCTTGACGCGATCACGCGCAGCAGTGCAAAGTTGATTCTGTGCTTACTTGATCTAATATTTTATGTTTTTTAAAATGTTGTAGATTTAAGTAGCAAATGAGAAATGAGCTAAAATTAATGCATATATTTTGAGACAAAGGTCTTCTTAAAAATTTTCAGTTTTGTTTTTAAATAACGAAAGAATATGTAAAAGTATGGTGTTTGGGGTCAAAAGTGCCCTGCTGTTGGGGCTAAAGGCGCACAGTAATTAACATGATAATTAATAGAAGGCTGACTTTTCTATTTGTTGACATGACATCACATGGTTAGATTCAGATGGTAAATATTATATATTATTTTGGGTGTCCATATTAGAGATAATCACCATGTTTAGAATGGAACCATCATATTTAAAAACATGATATTAATCATATCACATAAAATATAATTTGTTGTTACTACTGTAAATCTATTTCAAATTATTATGGCATCTCCTTCAATACTTTCAGAATCTTTACTTCTTAAAATTATTTTGTTTCTGTATTTTAAAATGTATATTTTTTATATTAACGTAGTTTAATGACAGTATATTTATTGAACAAAAATTAATTATTTTATTTTTCAAATAAGCAGAAAATAGTATAAACGTTGCTAAAGTGATTGTTTTGAACATGTATTAACTTAGACATTATTAAAAAACATTATTTTAGCTGAAGTAATTGTATCAATACTGTGTGCCTTTTAAAATAAAGGCCCCCCTTGCCATCTCATTCATACATTTATAAGATTTTTAAACAAAATAAACGACTTGCAAAGAAATTATAGAAATTTATACTTTTATTTAGCAAGGATGCTTAAAATTGATCAAAAGTGATGATAAAGGCATTTATAATGTTACAAAAGATTTCTATTTCAGATAAATAGTGTTCATATCGATATCGGAATTATATCGTATCGACCGAAATTAAGAAATATATCGTGATATCAATTTTGGCCATATCGTCCAGCCCTATGTTCAATACAAACGTATATATTTTTTCTGCAATTACACATTTTAGGCGCAGTGAAAAGCAAATTTTTTCTTAAGGTGAGCCTTTAGCCCTGTTGTACCCTATATTCCAAAGCACTGTCTTCAAATTAATATTTTATCAAGTAATGCATGACTATTACGTTGTTTATACTTGGGATTACAAATCTGAACAACAGAATCTGCATTTGAGGAATGTTTTGCTATTATTTTAAGTTATTAAATGTACCATTTTTGCCTGCTGGATGGAACAAAATCCCTAAGACTTATATTGAAAGAGGGACCATAGCCATATCTATGATTATCATAGAAACATTTTGACTTGAGACAATGAGGAACCACATCGAAACCATCCAAAACATCCTAGAAATTGCATAGTAGCTTACTAAAAACCACCAAGAACATTCTAACCACATAGCAAAGGAGTGAAACCATTTAGAACTCCTTAAATGCAAAACGTTTGCATAGCAACATGCTAAAACCACTCAGAACACGTTAGGAAAGGTGTAGCAAAATGCTAAAATCTTTGAGAGCATATTATTAAAGGCATAACAACATGCTAAAACCACTCAGAATATGTTAGTAAAAGCATTGCCAAATGATAAACCTCTCAGAATATTTGTAAAGGCATAGCAACATGTTAAAACCTCTCAGAACACATTAGTAAACGTATAACAACATGCTAAAACCACTTAGACGTAGAACACATTAATAAAGGCATAACAACATGCTAAAACCACTCAGAACATGTTAGCAGTCATAGCAACATTCCTATCCTCTCAGAGCACATTAGCAAAGGCATAGCAACATGCTAAAACCACTCTGAACACATTAGCAAAGGCATAGCAACATGCTAAAACCTCTGAGAACACGTTATTAAACACATAGCAAAATGCTAGAACCTCTCTAAACATTATTAAACACATAGCAACATGTAAAACCACTCAAAACATGTTGGTGAAAGCATCTATACATATCTATGGGTGAAAGCATAGCAACATGCTAAAACCACTCAGAACATGTTAGTAAAGGCAAAGCAAAATGCTTAAACCTCTCATATTATTAAACACATACCATGCTAAAACCACTGAGAACACGTTAGTAAAGGCATAGCAACATGCTAAACCTCCCAGAACACGTTAGTAAAGGCATAGCAACATGCTAAACCTCCCAGAACACGTTAAAGGCATAGCAACATGCTAAACCTCCCAGAACACGTTAGTAAAGGCATAGCAACGTGCTAAACCTCCCAGAACACGTTAGTAAAGGCATAGCAACATACTAAACCTCCCAGAACACGTTAGTAAAGGCAAAGCAAAATGCTAATAACTCTCATAACACATTATTAAACACATAGCAATAGTATCATGCTAAAACCACTCAGAACTCATTAGTAAAGGCATAGCAACATGCTAAACCTCCCAGAACACCTCAGAACATGTTAGCAGTCATAGCAACATTCCTATCCTCTCAGAGCACATTAGCAAAGGCATAGCAACATGCTAAAACCACTCTGAACACATTAGCAAAGGCATAGCAACATGCTAAAACCTCTGAGAACACGTTATTAAACACATAGCAAAATGCTAGAACCTCTCTAAACATTATTAAACACATAGCAACATGTAAAACCACTCAAAACATGTTGGTGAAAGCATCTATACATATCTATGGGTGAAAGCATAGCAACATGCTAAAACCACTCAGAACATGTTAGTAAAGGCAAAGCAAAATGCTTAAACCTCTCATATTATTAAACACATACCATGCTAAAACCACTGAGAACACGTTAGTAAAGGCATAGCAACATGCTAAACCTCCCAGAACACGTTCGTAAAGGCAAAGCAAAATGCTAATAACTCTCATAACACATTATTAAACACACAGCAGTAGTATCATGCTAAAACCACTCAGAACTCATTAGTAAATGCATAGCAATGTTAAAACCTCCCAGAACATGTTAGTAAAGGCATAGCAACGAGCTAAATCCAGAATGCTTAGTTGCAGTGGGTTTTGTACAGCCACTCTTTTTAAAATGTAAAATTCTAGTTAGTTGGAAAATTAGTCTGACAATTTTTTTTTTTTGGCATTTTTGTCTTTAATTTGACAGGACAGTGTAGAGAGGACAGGAAGCGAAGTGGGAGAGAGAAAATAACATTTTCAAAGAGAAAATAACATTGCCAAGTATCCATCGCATTTGCCGTTTGGATTTCACTTGCAGCTGGGTTGTAAACTCTTTGTCCTGTTTGCTGCAGACGCGTGTGGGCTGTCAGATCCGGCGCACATCGACAGCCTGCAGGAGAAAGCACAGGTGGCCCTGACCGAGTACGAGCGTATACAGTATCCAGGTCACCCACAGCGCTTCGGCCGACTCCTGCTGCGACTGCCCGCCCTGAGAGCCGTTCCCGCCAACCTCATCTCTCAACTCTTCTTCATGCGGCTGGTTGGCAAGACGCCCATTGAGACGCTTATCCGGGACATGCAGCTCTCTGGAAGCTCCATCAGCTGGCCATACGTGCCTGGACAGTAGATGAACAATCAGAGACTTGTTCCCGTGTCCCATCTCAGGCTGCTCCCATGATTCCACAGTAACCGTGTGGATAGATGTTGTGTTTCGGGTTTTGTTGATTGTGTATATACTGTATGTCTAAAAGAGGTTGACACGTATGTTGCTATGCAGTTTCAATGAGCCATCCAGCACCAAGATACCTCATGTTTCACATCATGAGCATCAACAAATTCTGTCGAGAACATTTGACGAGAAACCGAGGACTGATTATGAAGAAGTTAGCTGATATATGACAGATCCAAAGCTTTAAAGAAGAGTGTACAATACCTTCTTTTTCAGAACATAGTGAACTATTTTAAAGCTAGTGTAGATGTACAGTAAGAATCTTTGTAACAGACTGCATTTGTGAGAAAAATGTTGGGTTATATACTTGAAAAATCAATGGTGAACAATGAATGGCTATGTTTAGAATGGAATACTTGCATACTGCACACTACTGCTTTATATTGAATAGTATGTGAAACAGTATGAAATATGCAATATTACATACCCCAAACCGTACTATGCTACATTTTGATCTCATTATATTACATGTTTATCATGTAAATATGGTACACTGCATTATGGGATACAGTATTCTGTGCAGTGTGCCTGGTTGTGTTCGGAGTACTTCCAGTTATTACACACTATGCACGGTGTACATACTATATACCAAAAACATTGAGTAGTATGGTAGTGTGCTATTCTGAACATAGACCATGCCTTCGATTGTCCTATTTAAACAGTTCTGGTGAATTTTTCAATGGTGTGGAGAAATGGTATAAACTTTTACATTGCCGACTGTGGGAAATATCAAGTATTTTTGCATACTAAAAATTAAAATGAATGATAAACAAACAAGCAAGCTATTATGTAAGAAGATTGTTAATGAAAAAAAAAAAAACACTTGCATTTTCAGCAGTGTTAGTCAAATAAATAACCTGCAAACAAGAAAAAAGGATATTTGTTCCAACTTTTTTCGTATGAAGTTTATGACTTGTATTTCGAAGATGAATAAAAATAGCATTTGTCTAATAAAAAAGGCATTTGTTTCTAATCAATATTGGGTACAAATCCTTTGTTTAATAATATATTATCTACACTGTACTACACTGATTTGGCATACAAAAGTTTTTCAAATATTAATCATTAAAAAGAAACATGCTTTTTAATGTGATGATAAAAAAGACTATACACAAAAAGACTAAACATTTTAGCCTTTACGTTAAATAATATCTCCATTATAATTACAGGATGGCTACACCACCTTAAATGTTTTACTTTCAATCAATCAATCAATCGATATGAATTCAGAAATGTAAATGATTATATCACTTCATGATTATACCACCCACCTACAAAATCATTCTGCATGCTGTGCACTGGGAAAAAAAAGGTATAGAAACAATTTTCAATATGATGTTTCACAATTAATAAAGTAACATGAAAACAAAGTACAAGCACTGAAATATTTTGTAAAATATATTTGTAAAATATGTTTATTTACAACCTCGGGGGAAAAAAAATTGCCTTACAAAAAATATTTTGACTGTCACGTAATACTGACCAAAATGCGTCATCTGCTGGTGAATCAGTGCTCGTGCTTGTTTAAATGACAGTGAAATCACTGTTTTACCCGTAAATACGCCCATAAATAAGTCACATCAATATTTACCCATGTTCAGCTGACAAATCCGATTACGTAAATGAATGAATAGGATGAATAAAACGAGAGAAGTGTAATGTAGTCTTGAGCGCAGGGTGTGTAGCGCAGCCCAGCCCCAGCATGACACACAGCCAAAGCGGAGGAGCCGAACACCCTCACTCGAATTATTATCAGTGAAAATCACTGAATTAAACACCCAAGAGACCCAACAGGGAATAAAAGTTTTATAACACGCAGAAAATGTCGTTCATCCCCGGTCAGCCTGTCTCAACGGTTGTGGTAAGTTTGCGTTCAGTGTGAGTAAGCTTCACTAGCATTAACGTTAGTGCCTTCAGCCTTGTGTGCGGTTCTTTAGTGTTTTTACAACGACAGTGATTCGTTTTATATCGTTTGACTGGGAAAGCGGTTAATTAAAAAATGTTTTTTTTTTCTCGACAATAATTTGCGACATGACAGGACAGTTTGGTTACGTTTATTTGAGTTTAAGCTAACAGCTGATGTAATGGAAAGGGTTAGCATGCTAGGCTAACGTTAGCCAGCAGGGGCGAACAAAGTGAACAATAGTTCATTTATTTATTATTCAATTTATTTGTGTATTTATTTAGATTGTGGGAAATGATTATGGGGCACAATATAATGAAACCGAACGTTTTACTTCGTTTTACTTTACTTCGGTTTACTTGCTCTCAAACTAGAGCAAAACCAGAGTGTTCATTTGGCTTCCCTAAAATGAAACGCTATTTATACAATGCTTATTAGTCATTTTTGGGATACAGTTAATATTAAATGATTAATTTAATTGGGGTTTAATTGTTATTTTGTATTATTTTCAATCTGTTCTGATGTCACTCGGGTGTGAAGTAAGTAGGCGTGGTTTATGTTCTTGTTCAAGTAATGCTGCCATATATGGTCATAAACAGCTGTGCCATAGGATGTCTTAAATCCTAGTTAGCCGCCTACCTAGATGGCACCTAGCGTGCATTATTCTCAAAAATGCTGACTATGTATATAGATAGCTACGTTTTTAGACATATACTTATTATGCCTGCCTTGTAAGTCAGCTGTCTTGTGTTTTCCTCTCTGTATTTCAGCAACGGATTGAGATTCACAAACTACGGGATGGTGATAATGTAATATTAGGATTCAGCATTGGAGGAGGAATCGACCAAGATCCAAGCCAGAATCCGTTTTCCGAAGACAAGACAGACAAGGTGAAAAATCATGTTTCGTGAATTGAATTCTATTTAGAGTGAGGCATTTTTCCTCCTCTGTCATTCAGAAGTGACTCTTCTAACCTCATTAACGTCACAGGGAATCTATGTCACACGTGTATCTAAAGGTGGACCTGCAGAGGTGGCTGGTCTCAGGATGGGAGACAGAATCATGCAGGTGAGCGATCCGAACCGGTCAACCATATTATAAGACATTCTCACAGTGATGAAGAGTTTTGTTCAGGTCACAAAACTAAACTATTCCTGATTTTACTAAATGAATCTCCACTAGAGGTCGCTGTGGCATCATTATTATTATTATTATTATTATATATTTTTTCATTTTGTGACATTTAAAGCAGTGGTTCACCAAAAAAAGGAAAATTCTGTCAATTACTTTTACCTGTTGTTTTAAATTGTATGTCTTCTCTTTTTTTTGAACGTGAATGCGGATTGAGGCTGTCAAGCATCAAAATAAAACAAAAAGCAACAAAAAAGTAGTCAATATGACTCATGCAATATATTCTAAGTTTTCATTTTTCACTTTTTCCATCTTTTGGTACTAACTATATTGAGTGAACCAATAAAAATGTGGCCGTAGTTCAAGCCAAGGTTGTTGGGTTCCTTCAAAAAACATTATTTGTAGTGCACCTCCCATCCAATAATCGCAGAGATTTGTGCTGTGTTGCTTCTGATAAGAAATGCTGTTCAAATTCTGTCCATTTTATCGTAAAATTCAAACAATAAATGCAGTTTTGACATTCTTAAATGTGGCGTGACAGATCGCTTTAGCCACTTCAGTTCAAGTGGCAGCGTGGCGCGTGAATCTCTTCCACTTTCATTTAAATTGTTGCATGAAATAAATGTGCATGAACATTGTTGACACCATGTTGAAAGATACAGTACAACTTACCAAAATACATCAGCTCTCATGTAATCACTCATGGAAGGCGGTCAATAAAACTGCTTGTGAACAATGTCACTTAAAGGGTTAGTTCACCCAAAAATGCAAATTCTGTCATTAATTACTCACCCACCGTCATGTCGTTCCAAACCCGTAAGACCTTCGTTCATCTTCGGAACACAAATTAAGATATTTTTGATGCATTCCGAGAGCTCTCTGACCCTCCATAGACAGCAATGTAATTACCACGATCAAGGTCCAGAAACGTAGCAAGGAGATCGGTAAAATAATCCATGTGACATCAGGGGTTCAACCGTAATTTTACGAAGCTACGAGAATATTTTTTGTGCAGAAAGAAAGCAAAAATAACGACTTTATTCAACAATTCGTCTCCTCCACGTCACCCTGGTGCCATTTTGGAGAGTATCACGTACGTAAACAACGTATGCTATTCTGTGTCAGCTGTGCCACGCGGATATGTTTTCTATGTTCAGATCAAAGTGCAAACAACGTAGACGATGTATCCGTGTGGCGCAGCTTAGCTTGTCTAACATCTTAGACAAGTTATAAGAGGTATACTACGTTTTTATTTAAAACTCACTTAAAACCACCAGCGAGTGTTTGTAATAGATTGCGTCTAATCTGTGTTTTGGCCATATAATGTTGCTGAAATAGTTATTCGTAGCCTTTTATATCTTTTGCACCTGCTTAGCTTTCCTCATGTACTGTAAGCACCCAGTATTTCTATGAAAATAGGCAGAATCTCATGAAAATCACAAAAATTGTGTTTATTAGCTTCATGTTTCATCTGTAGAAATGTTTTTCTGGGTTTATGTACAGAACTGAACGTGGAAGTGTAATGGATATTTGTCATCGAAGACAGGGCGCGTTATGAATGCAGTAATATGAGCGCGACATATGAGCAGCTAAAGAGCTTCCTCTGAGAAGAGAAAATGCTGGCAGACAGCACAGGAAGCAGCTAATGCTTATCAGGTCGCGTAAATCAGCGGAAAATGAATAGAAATGATGATTCTGTCTAAGCTATGCATTTTAAAATGAAAACAAAAACGTAGTCTAAAAGTCGTGGAAAAGATCAAAAGTCTAGCTGCATTTCACCAATGCTTGTCTGTCTCCTGAAGAAGAAAAAAAAGCAGAAAGATGCAATTTTTTTTTTTTAAACCGCTTACTGATTTAAAGATTTTAAGTATGCAGCAGTGAGCCTCACATACTGAGATGAGTCTTTAAGTCTGTAAAAATGTCCGCAAACTGAAAAAATAAAACCAACTTTTTTTTTAAGGTATTGTAATCTTATTAAAACAGATTTCATAAAATTGGTATTGAAAAAAGTATTGTTCAAGAATCGGTATCGAAGTCAAGGTATCGGAATTGAAGATTTTTTGAATGATACCCAGCCCTACAAGCTTGTGCCATGAATTACTAATATGACAGCTAGCTAATTGCATGCAAAGAGCTTATTAGCCTGCGCCATCTAGTGTTTCATGACTGAACTTATTTGGCATAATATGTTTAAAAATATATATAAAATGTAGTTTTTGTGCACTCAATGTCAATTTCAGGTGAATGGCTGGGACATGACCATGGTGACACATGATCAGGCACGAAAAAAACTCACCAAGAAGAATGAAGATGTGGTCAGGCTTCTCGTCACTAGAAAAACGCTGGAGGACGCAGTCAGACAGTCCATGATGCAACACTAATGCAGGTCTGAAACACGCTCAGTTGAGCTAATTGAATGTCCTTATTGGTTAATCACATGTTCAGAGCATGTTTTAACTAATAAAAAACAAACAGCCTCCCTCAGCCAAAGAGTGATGCCAAGAAACCTTTACACTCAATATGGACTAACGATTTGTTAAAGATGATTTTGACGTATTGAACTCTAACTGAATCAGTGTATGTGTGAATGATTGCTCTCAGAGTGCAATCTAAAGATTGTGGTTTGCATTCCATAAATTGCTACACTACTTTCAATTTAGCTACACTTTATGCCAAATACTACATTATCTTTACCACATATGCTCTTGAATGTATCACAGAGTCTGTGAACTCCTTATCATTTCATTCATAGATCTCAAGGGCTACAGTGAATTGTGTTCACCTCATTTTTTTGTTAACACGTACACATACTTATACGTCTGTTAATTATCGAATCAAGCGATGTGGGAAACAGCCAGCATATAGTTGTACTTTAATGACCACTAATTTTGCTAGTTC